AACTGAAATGAATAAACTAAAATTTAATTTAGTGGAGTAAACTGGGGTTGATAAATTAATTATGTAACTAGCTAAAGAGTGAAGAACGATGTTTAAGGCTGAAAGGTGTTTCAAAAAAAAAACAGAGCAAAAGGCTAAAGTCTCTGTAGTCTGTAATAAGACTGAAAGTTTTCAAATTAAAAAAAAAAACAGAGTAAACCTGAAGAGTGAAGACTGAAGAACGATGTTTACGCGAAAGAGATTGTGCGGCTCACAGGCGAGTTGGAGATTTCTAGCCCAAAAGAAGTCTGGGCGAACTCCAAACCTGCGGCTTCTTCACTTGCGACTTCTTCACCTGCGACGTTGTCTGGTGCGTGGAAAGAATCGAACGAACATAACCCTAATTTCTAGCGTGAGGCCGATAACACTTAAAACTTAAAAAAAAAAATTGACCTTCGCTTTTTGTGAAAAGCTCAGAAAAGCGGTCGCTTAATTGAAAAGCGAAGGAAAAGCAGAGCTTTCTCACGGCGAGTCGCTTCCCAAAAGCCAGGCGGGGAACCGGCGCTCGCCTGCGCTTTGGCGCTTAAGCGCGCTTTTGAGCGCTTTTAACAAGTTTGGCCCGAGTATTATATAGTTTGTGAATCTTTAGCATAGGGTATGTTAAAAAAATGATTCCAATATGCAATGAACTTCAGTTCGGCTGTAGAAATACTTGAATGGTCAATGATAACAAGCTCTATGCTAAGAAACAAATATTATCATTCCTTAATTCACTTCCTCACTGTTATCCAACATACCAAAAGACATCTTCAATCAATAGCAGCATCTGGATATCGAGTTAAATACATATTGAGTAATAATTAGGGCCTTAGGGGTAATCACACAATGAATCACACACAACACTTGATCATTCACATTGATCTTGGAAGACTCTGCTGAATGTTTTTGTACTTGCGTATATTTACCTCCACAACTGAAATGATGTGGCCCTTTTTTCCAGATCTTCAGCGAAATGACGTCCATACCTCTGCAATAATGCTACAGAAGATGAGAAGCAAGGAAGCATTGAAGCAACTAGTCAAGGAATCATGGAAGGGCAACAGGATACTGATGGCTGAGACTTTATTAATTGAATTTGTTATATGTACTCTAATACTATGTTGAAATAAGGTCCAGCTGTTGAAAGCCAAATGCATCAAATATTTGTATGTTGAACTCTACTGTTATTTAAGCATGGCCCATATATAGTTGGATAACAACTTGGAGCCATAGTGTTAAATGCAAAATTGAATAGAAAACGAGTTTTCCCAACCTCTAGCATTTCTAATAGCTAAGAGTTTGCTGGCGAAGGGCTTGGCTAAATCTTGAACTTCCTAGCATTCTAGTTCAACCTCATAAGATGCACAAGACATTATTAATATTGATCCCCAAAAATGAGCTTTCTAGAATTCTAAGGGTATACATCATTAGAAAATTTGCAACCTTTTACAAGCTTTTTTTTTCTTTTTCTTTTTTCCCTTTCACAAGCTTAGGTGACTCTATATGCTCCCAAAAACTTTTACCTTGTATCTTGATATTGGTTTTAAAGTGCATTCGTTAACTCGTTTGATTAATCAACAATTTTGCATATTTGGCACCGTCCATACCGGTAAATTACATCCTACAGCCTAGGAGTGGACTCGGGCCGAGCCAACCGGCCCGGAACCGGATCGGCCCGCTACTGTGCGGGCCTGGACCGGCCCGGTGAACAGGTTGGTGCCCGGTTCGGGCCACCCGGTCCGGTGAGGTAGGCGGTTCGGGCCCAGGCCTCCTAAATCGTGAACCAGTCCGGCCGGTTCGGGCCCGGTCTGAGCCAATTTATTTTTTTTTTCTTTTTTTTTTTAATTTTTTTTAAGTTTTTGGGTTGGGCTTGGTATGATGGGCCATTTGAGGTGGTTTGGGGGTGAGGGGGGAGGGTTGGGGGTTAATTAGGAAAAGCCAAAAAAAAAATACAAGAACCGAGGCCCGGACCGGACCCGGGGTTACTCAGGCCGGTTCTGGGCCTCCCCTTTCATGAAGTGAGGCCCGGCCGGGCCCGAACAGGAACCGGTCCACCCCTACTACAGCTGGCTTGACCGTGTGCATGGTACAACCGGTCTTGTTTACGCTTTTGCGCTTCTCGCCCTAGCACCTGACATCTTCGATCTTCCTTCGCATAGGACTTCGCACCTGCTTCTTCAATCACGCTTGACTTTTTTTATATGATCTCGCATTAGGTAGATTGCTCCTTGTCAGCACTCTCTTCTCCTCAAGCACGAAGACCCTCCTGTTGCGCAAGAGACGGTGGCTCCTGGGGAGTTCACTGCGAGAAGAAGAATACGGAGACGACAGATTGAGGGATAATGGTCACGGACTAAATGTGGACAATCTGAAAGTGAGGGACTAAATGTGGAAGTGGTATAATAGTCATGGGACCAAAAGTGGAATTTTTTCTAAGAAATTCAGTGTCAAAATTTTCATGCTCAACACTTTTGACTCCTAAAAGGCTAAAACAATATGCACTACATTAGTCTACATATGGTCTCAAAGGAGTAATCAGACATAAAAAGTTTCGATCTATCTCCATGATGTATATGTAAACTCTCAAACACAGATATAATTAGATATAATTAGGTAAAAATAGAAGAAAATAGATATAATTAGATATAATTCCAAAACTGGATTGTCATATTTTTATTCCCTAAATAGAAGAAATTACACATGTTTTTACTGTACCAGACTTTTTGGCAGTATTTTCCGAAACTTGAATAAAAACATGATAGTTTAAAATTCTCAAACGTCTTTACTCCTATATCGGTCCGGTAACATATCAACCCGCAAATGTGCACCATTAACCAGAAATACCCGTGACTTGGGCGTACTCGTGCTGGAACCAGAAATTCTCAAAAATCCTCTCTATCCGCTCTTAAAGTGTTTCTAAATAAATACCCGCACGGGTAGTATAATAAATATTGTCATGTTAAATGCACTGTACTGCAACTATTTGGCAGTCACGGCTACAAGATGACAGTAAATACTGCCATGTTAGTCTCATTTTGGGAATAAAAACAAAGTAATCCTATTTTAGAATTTCAAACTTCATTTACTCATATTTTGGGAAATCTCCCTACTTTTAATATCTAAAATTTTGTTAAAAATTAGATATTTTAAAATAATGGTTTTATTTTCAGTGTTCACGTGCATTATGATTTGAATATTAAATTATGATTTTAAATAATTTCCCGTTACAAGTTTAATTTGATATATAATTTACTATTTCATTGTTAATCATTATTGACCAAATTCTTTGACGTTGATTGGGTTCACCCGTCGAGTCCAGATTGACCCGCAACTGTCATTTGACCATGTCGCTTCCCTGCTTGATTTTTACATCATAGATTTCCGCCTAACACATATTTCAATCAACCCCGAACACAAATTCCTTCCATTTTCAGAGTGAAATGATTTTTGACTTGTTTAAGGTTTATGACTCGTCAAAATTAGGAGCAAAAACTCAGCATAGAACGGGACCGGGTCAGGCTTGTGCGAGATCCAGGTCCAGGCCCAAGTTAGTACCGAGACCGGGCCAGCCCGAGTCGGGCTCCAAATATTTTTTTTTGGGCCTTTTCGAATTAATTCCAACTCCCACCCCACCCTCCCACCCCAACCGCCCTGCCACACCCACCTAACAGCAAGCCCAACGCCCAAAAAAAATTGGGCCCGAACTCGGCCCAGCCACCACTAAAATCAGAGCCTGTAGCCCGGCTGTTTAACCCCCGGGTCGAGCCCAGGTCTCGGTCCTGGTCCCGGTTCAAAGGGTCAGGTCAGGCCGAATCCCGGGTCAGGCCGGCCCGTCCCAGTCCATCCCTAGCAAAAACCCAGCAGAAGAAAGAGGGAAAGTATAACTCAATACTAACATTCATTGGAAACTGTTCTTAGTCCCTCATGCATCTGACAACGGTCAACGGGAGTTGGGAGTTAACTGTAATTTTAGGCTTTTCATTCACCTGCATTTTGAATAGCACTTTTATTTTTTGTTTGTCACTAGTTATTGGTTCAGAAGAAATATGTTTGGGTACATTTTTTTCTAGTGAAATCCCTCAAAGTTGAATATTGAGAAAAAGGAAAAACAGAGAGATGATTCCCGTCTTTACAATCGTATGTTTTCCTCCAATGCGTTTCCTCGTCTACTTGTATTCATGAAATGATGAAATATAGTTTTAAATATTGTTTTCAAGTGGTTGATGATATAGTATTATAGTTTAACATTATACAAAGATCTGTTTCTTCACGATGCTTTTTCTTTCATTGTGCAAGCATGCAACCTTTTACACAAGTCAAGAAGTTACCTACGTTTATAAAAGTACTATCCTCCATTCCATAAAAGTAGGGGTGGCCTCGGGCCGGGCCAACCGGCCCGGAACCGGACCGGCCCGGGAACCGGTTCGTTGGACGGTTCGGGCCACCCGGCCCGGTGGATTCTCGGTTCGGGCTCGGGCCCTTCAAAAGGTGAACCGGCCCGGCCGGTTCGGGCCCGGGCCGGGCCAATTTTAATTTTTTTTTTGAATTTTTTTTGATTTTTGGGTTGGCCTGGTTATTTTGGGCCATTTGAGGTGGTTAGGATTGGTTTGGGGGTGAGGGGGAGGGGTGGGGGGGTTAACTAGGAAAAGCCCCAAAAAAAAAACAAATACCCGAGGCCCGGCCCGGCCCGGACCCGGGGTTTACTCGGACCGGTTCCGAGCCTCCCCTTCTTGAACCGAGGCCCGGTCGGACCCAGGCCCGAACCGGGCCCGAACCGGCCCGAGTCCACTCCTACATAAAAGTTACAACAGTTTAACTTTCACATTTATCAACTCGCAACATTAATTGTAATTATATTTATTTACATATTAGCAAACATTAAAAAAAATTAATATATTGGAAAATTACATTAATACAAATTTATTAATAGTTATACATAATATTTTTATTATATATATTATTAGAAAATCGTAGTCAAAGTAAGGTGTGTGAATAGTGCAGAAATTTCAATCTTGCAACTTTTATGGAACGGAGGTAGGAGTGGACTCGGGCCGGGCCAACCGGCCCGGAACCAGACCAGCCCGCTAATGTGCGGGCCCGGACCGGCCGGGCGAACCGGTTGGTTGACCGGTTCGTGCCACCCGGCCCGGTGGGACGGCAGTTCATGCTCGGGCCCTTCAAAAGGTGAACCGGCCCGGCCGGTTCAAGCCCGGGCCTGGCCTTTTTTTTTTAATTTTTTTAAGTTTTTGGGATGGGCTCGGTATCTTGGACCATTTTAGGTGGTTAGGGTTGGTTTGGGGGTGAGTGGGGAGGGTTGGGGGTTAACTAGGAAAAGCCAAAACAGGGGTTACCCGGGCCAGTTCCGGGCCTCCCCTTCATGAACCGAGGCCCAGCCGGGCCCAGGGCCGAACCGGGCCCGAACCGGAACCGGTCCATCCATAAACGGAGGAAGTATTTCAGAAAATCATGATTGACCAGCAGATTAAAATTAAAAATAATAAAATAGAAGAATTTAAATATACAACTGTTATAAAAGGTCAAACAGGAGAAGTTGACAAAGCAAGTAAGCTGAATGAATGAGGTAGAGTGCAAGACAACTTGACCACATATTTCAGCCAATTCAGGGCAATACTTGGGAGTAACAAAAAGTTTTGGTATGATAATAATTCAAGTTAACTAAACAAAGACATGTCTTGTCAAAGGAATACAAGTAGTACTACTTACGAACAAATTTCTTAACATTTTATATTCCATTCATATTTCTTCTAAAAACAAGTATAGGACAGATACTTGATTTCTATAGATGACCCTTGAGTTTAGACATATATGCTTTGACGAATGACGATACTCGAGTTTGAACTTTGGACATCTAAAACTAACTGAGTCACTAACAAATTAGTCTATATTGCAGTGCAACCTCACATTACAGGACCACACCAATGTGGGAACGTTGATAGTCACATCAAGTCCAGTAGATGAAAGCATGTTTGGTCAGAAATAGGCTTGTAGATTTAAAAAAGGCTTTTAGATGGTGAAACCCACTGCTACGGGCCCCACTTGGGTACAAATCTGAATTGCATCCAGGAAATTTTCCCCGGGACTTCAGATTCCACCACAGAGGCAGTTGATTGATTGTTTGCTTGAATGAACACTACTAATATATCACAAAGCACAAGGCAATCCAGTCACAAGCAAGCAAGTGGTAAGCTTTAGCCACATGCAGTTCCACCAAACCATCACCTCTTACATGAAACAGCTCAAGTACCAGTGGTGGGCTTTAAGGCCCATTAAAGAATAAAGATGGAACATCAAGCTCCCTCTAGCCCTCTAGAGTGAAGGCAAATCATCAAGCAATGACAAGTGAGAATGACACCAATTAAGCACAATTGGTTTCTTGTATCTTGATCATATACCATGTGGCATGCCTTTGCTCTTAGATACAAGGCTTTGCCACTTGTTGCAGAATCTGAAGTGAAAAATAGATTTCTGAATGTATTCTATTCAACAGTATTTGAATGGATATTTGTAGACCGCAAATTTACCTTTATATGCCATTGAGGATCGATCAAACACCATCTTCCTCCCTCATCCAACCCATGCTTAGCAGATCAAAGTCCATGTTGTATTATCAAATATACAACCAGAGAACAAGATAAGGTATGTACATTGTCGTCTAGGTGTGTTTATTTAAAGCTGATTGGTGAAGAAAGAAAATATACCCTTGTTTATTCCCAAAAAGTAAGTCATCTTGGGGTGAAGTTTCCCACGTCTGTGTAGTTAAAGCTACAAGTAGTCAAGTACCAAGGCATTGGGGAAGAACGAAGGAAATAGTTGTTTTGTTTAGGTTTTTAATAGGCTGTTATTTTGTTAAATATAATTTTAAAATACCTGATCCAATTAGTAATGTTATTGTATACACAAAGTAATAAACGGGGCCAGAGATGAAAAATGCAAACAAGAATTTGAAAAGAAAAAGGATTTGCCAATTGAAGTCCATATTTAGGGCCCATGAGGAAAAGGAAGAATGAATAAAAAGTATTACCCAAAAAACCAGAGCCAGAATACATGGTTCTTGAAACCAGAGCCAGAATACATGGTTCTTGAGGCAGTCGGACAGGATATTTCACAAGAATTTTCAGTTAAAGAAGAAATGAGTTCCATTGCGAAGTGAAAATTTTCAGCCAAGAAATGGTGCCCATAGCCCTATCCTTGCATAAAAACTCAAGTGCAGAAACTAACATATTCTAGTGGTGAAAGATACCTTATTGAGTTCAACAGAAACAAAAGTATATCTGTCCATGCTCAACAACTAGGTTCCTCAACCTGCTTGTAGAATCAAGTGAAACAACATTCGCAGCTGAGGGTGAAAATGCATACCATTCCACTGCACGCCCAATTGTTGCTCGTAGAATCAAGTGACACAACAAAAAGAAAAGGAACGCCCATTGTAAAGAAATTCCAAATGAAGTACATGAATAAACCAGTAAAATGTAACAACTTACGGAGAAATGACTGAGCAAGAGAATCAAGAAAAAATTGTATCTCTAGCTAAAGGAGATTGTAAAACTAAGTGGTCTCTAGCTAAGAAAAATAATGGTAGAACTCGATAAGTGGTTCTCAAAAAACTAAGTTTCCGGTTAGTTTCTGAACCTGAGCAACATCATCACAAGAGCATGGTATGGGTAATGAAATAGGAGATTGTATATGTCTGCTTGATCTTCAATTTTTTAATACATCAGAGAGTTTTAGGCATGGCTGATATGTACACCCTAGGACTTCTAACAAATGTGTATCTAAAAGAGGGGACAACCCATTTTTCAAAAGTTTTGAGGCAAGCAAGACAGTTTACCTGTTGATGCAACAGATCCTGGAAGTGTGGTGATAAAAAGTAAAAGAGAAAGCATGTGAAACCAACATTTCTGAAAGAGAAACACGTTCTTATTTCAATAATTATCGACAGGTGATAAATTCCACATGATGCAGAGAAAGAATCTTTGTGATCTTCGCCTAGATCCAAATATTCAGATCCAATAAATACCTTTATAGTGATTCATTACTTCCTGTCTACGTCTTCATCAATGAAAATGATAGTGGAACACTCTGCCTGCTTTACACCATCATCTCTTGCAAACACAATGTGAAGATCAAAATGGATGAAAAGTAAAATTCCCAATTAAATTCATCAATACTGAACACCAATAAATCCATAAGCTCTACTATTCAGAACCAATGTCATAGAAACTGTTTACAATTTGCAAATAAGAAATATGTTACATACACGAGACTCAATTGAATCTGGCTGGTAAATTAAGGCCTCAGCATACCACCCGGCATGACAAGCAGTCCGGCAGTCTTTGTTTTAAGCACCCCTGGAACACATCTGCAATATACTGAGCCAAAACAATACCTTCTCCACCTATTTTGTAGAACGTGCCTGCTAAAAAACAGCACGAGTGACCTTCTCACAAACACGGTTTGCAACTTCCTTTCAGTAGATGGGCTCTCTCACCTCAACCATATCAAATTGACAAGTATTGCAGAAAGAGAATCTTAAACAGTACAAATGAGCATTACTGAATTTTCTTAACCAAACAAACCACCATTTCCCACTTCACCTTGCTGCAACTCCTTCCTACGCAGCTCCTCCAGTGGATCTGGACTTTTATATACCCGTCGCATCCGCCTGAAACATAAAGGGGGGAAATGAATATATTTCTTGAGAATAATAGTTTTACTGAAGAAAAAATAAATATGTTTCACAAACAAAACAGTACCTGTCCTGAGCATGCTGTGCTGGAAATGTGGGCATAAATTCTTTAGACTTGGGAAGAGGAACTTCACGAAACCACTCGTGATTGAGTGCTGCTTCGACAGTTATACGCTGCAATTCATCAAAACCTAATCCGTTAAAACATCAAATACTAACACTGATGTTTGTTTTCAATCTGAATAGTGCTAACCTTCTCAGGATCAAAAGTCAGAAGCTTGTTTAACAAGTCTAAGCCAGCATCCGAAAGTACCGGCGATCCTGTGAAGGATGTGGCTGGAAACTTCTTACGCAACAGGTTATACCTGAAACAAATGAATCACTAGGTTAAATGAAGCAAGACAGTCATTTAACTGAGACTTGTCGCCAAGAGAGGCAAGAAAGCCAGACCAGTATCACCCAAAGCTGGAAGCCTGGGAAAACAGTGGCAAAAATAGAGAACATGAATCTCAAGTTATCTAGTGTATGAAAAGAAATTTACAAGGAAAAGATACTCACTGATGCTTCACAAAACTGATCTTGACACCTGGAAGTTTAGAAAATCCAGGCCATATTGTTTCGTTGGGTGTGCCAAGGATTTTGAAAATCTGAATACATAAAAGTCTGTTAGGCATGAATAGTAGTAGTAAATAACAAAAAAAAAACTGGCTAAAGAAATTCTTGAAAGGTAGTAAATATAACACATTAATTACCTTATCAAGTTGTTCGATCTCTGATTTCCCATTGAACAGTGGTTCTTTAGACAAAAACTCAGCCATAATACAACCCAAAGACCACATATCGATTGCTGTTGAATATTGCTTGGCTCCCAATAACAGTTCTGGTGCCCTACAAATAAATGAACTCAAACAATCAATAACAACTATTTAAACAACTCATGCCACACCATCTATTTACCATGTTTGGGGAAAGCAAATTATACATTTGAAAGTGCAATGGCATACTGAAATGCAATGTTTATGAGGTATACACATACACAGCAAAAGAAGGCACAGCATTAAGCTAATAAACTGTAGCAGAATAAAAAACAATGTCTACTGAAATCATGAGCACAAACAGATAGACACTCACCTGTACCATAAAGTAACCACCAATTGAGTATAGGGTTTCAGAGGGCTGCCATATTGTCGAGCTAAGCCAAAATCACAGATCTTTAACTCACCACGGTTATTTAAAAGCAAATTTGAAGTCTTTAAATCTCGGTGAAGAACCCAATTATCATGGAGATACTTGATTCCCTCCAAAAGCTGTAGCATAAGGCATTTCACTTCACTTTGGCTAAATGGCTGCTTCATTGTTTCCATTAATGCCTTGAGGTCATGTTCCATATACTCCATCACCATGAAAATCTTATCAAGACTGTTACCCACAACAACTTCCTTTACATCAACAATAGAGGGGTGATGAAATGAGAGAAGAATATTGATCTCCCTTAGAGAAGTCAAGGGAAACCCCTCCCTCTCTTTCTCCATTTTAACCCTTTTCAAAGCAACAATTTCTCCTGACTTCTTATCCCTGGCCCTGTAGACTACCCCATATGTGCCTTCATCAATCTTGTTAAGCCTCTCAAATTCATCAACACTCCTGCATCCTTGAAGCATGTTCACACTTCTTTGCATTGGGGGTGCAGGCTCCGGTGTACTGGGTGAGACATGGTCATCTTCAGAATCTGTATCTGACTGGCTAGAACTAGTACCCACACGATTCTGCTCCTTTACAATATCCATGTAGTCGCTGTTGTCACCATCATTGTCAGCATAACTGTCTCTACTGGAAGATCTAATACGCTCCTCAAATTCAGATAACCTGGTCCTAGTTCCTTCAGAATCTCTACGGAGCTCCAAGACCTCAGGGGTTGGTGTTTTTGAATTTTCCTTTTGTTCCATGAACTCGGAAGCTGACTTTCTCTTTCTTGATTTGGGAATTTCATCATCATTTGATATTTCACCTTCATCGGCTGGGGAATTAGCATCAGTTGCCCACCGTGAAAACCGTATGGTTCGCGTGGGTACATACTCATCATCCTGAAATTCTTGACCATCATTGGAGGGAAAAGCTACATTAACAGAGGATTGAATGACACTTGCAGCGTGAGTTTCAGGAGTACCGTTTGGTTGAGTTTCAGGAGTGCTGTTTGGTTGAGCAGGAGCAATAGGTGAATACTGAAGTTTGCTATCTGTCATAGGAGAACAACGCTTGGGTGTGTTAATTGACTTCAGCATTGGATACTGAGGAGGAAGGTCAGAAGCAGGCTGTGTACTAACTGCATTTACAGCTTTAGGCACCTCCTTATCATCTCTATCCCAAATGATTGGAGAGAATTTCCTTTTCTTACTCAGCATAGGTGACCTGTTTCCATTGGCCAACTTTTTAGCCTCCCCACCTTCAACCTCTTTATCTATGTCCATAGTTCCATCGGAGCTACTTTCACTAGACAACTCCCCAGGCTCCCGGTCAACATCCCTCACTGTAAATCCAGGTCTTCGCCCACGAGCATTACCACCACTTCCACCTTCACTGCTACCTGAGTCACTCCTGCTGGACACAGAACGACAATCCCCATTCGTCAATTCTCTTTCAAATATATCCTTCTCTCTGACTCTTCCCCCATCTCGAACATTCCTGTCACGAACATTAACTCTGTCATGATCCCGATTGACACGGTCATAATCCCTCTTGGAATACCCTAATTCCCTTCTGGGCACATCCAAGTCTGACTCGCTGTTCCTGAACTCGTTGTCTCTGTAACCACCGTGTCTTCCAGCAGCCATATGGACGCACGCTTGTGTGAACAAAACCCTAAACTCTACCTCAAAACAAAAAACCCTAGCGCCAAAATATCTGAAAAATCCTCGCCCAGACCAAACCCTAAATGGACCCAGCAAATCGAACAAAAAGGGGGATCTTGAAAACAAAACCAAATTTTAGGACGAAGAAGACAGTAGCAACGACAAATCGAGCTATATGATTGTTTATTTTTTGTCAAACCTCAAGTTAAATGAATTGATTGGAATAACAGAAGCGGTGGATTCAAACAGAAACCCTCGGGAACTAAAGCTGAAAAAGTAAATCCTGTGCGCGATTGCGATCGAAAGCGTCTTACCGAAGAAAGGAGGCGGCGGCGAATAGAGAAAGATCGGAAGAGGCGGCGGCGGCGACGCTGCTTGTGAAGAGATATATAGAGGGGTTATTATTCTGCTTCTCTCTAACGCGGATAAGGCACGAAGCGATATGGGAGGGAACCTTCGTAGAAGGAGGCCTTCTATAATTGCCTTCCTATTTTTAAATTGAGACGCGACGCCTTTTTGGAATTTCCTTTTTTCCTAATAATAACTTTTTTCCATATATTGCCCTGTTTCACTTTTTTTGCACGGATGAATTTGACTGTTTGAGGGGCTAATTTAGATAGTTGTATTTTCAAACTTGTTCCTCAAAAGGTTAAATTTCTAGTCCCAAGATCCTCATGCTTCGGCTCGACAAAGCATATGAGAGGATGTAAATCGTTATAACTCATATGAGTACAGAGGCCAGATCATTATCCATTGCGCACAAGGAATCCCTCTAACATTGAGAGGTTACTCTCACACTGCCGCTTGTGGAAATCGGTCTTGAACTGCCTATGAGAGCTTGTATTATCTTTACTAAAGCCAAGTGAAACGCATGGCTAGACACGAAGCTTAGAAGAAATGACAGTTGTGATCGGTTTGGTGATACTCGTAGTGAACTGCTCCGATTAAAATGGAGTAAATTGCATCGATTGAGTAACGGTTACGGAGCGAGAAATACATGTTTTGTTTTTATGGGTAACATGGCGGTTATGATTTTTTACATGCCCGCACCGTACCCGTCTCGTTATATTTCGATTACATTTTATTCCTATTACTTCTCACACAATTAATTAAAGATGATTTTTTTTCTTGTCATTGCATATATATGGATGCACTAACTACAATGTATGAATGAAAATTCATATAATGATAATAGAGATTATATTTATTTATTTATGGCTTTCATTATTATTCTTAAAGTTGATATTGATGCATGTTATATTTGTAATCCTAATTCTAATTATATTTTCCATGATGTTTTAATACTTAGATAGGAAGGTAAAGCAAGGTTAGAAAGTAATTATATTTAATGGACTCTAATTGATTTATTCAATTGGACCATTAAGTTAGGTCTGGCCCGTTTCAGTCTTATCCACTTTGGTTTGGGCCTGATGTTTTCCTTAGTCAGTTTGGTTTTCCTTATTTGACCCAGCTCTTTTCTCTCGCATATAAAACGTCTCCTTCCTTCTGGAGACCTCTTTTTGCGTCATTCTTCAAAACCCTAATACAGAGAGGCGAGAGAGAGAGCTTGTGAAGTTGAATGAGAGAGATAAACCTCTGGTTTTTCATCTTCGTGATCTGAAATCACTTGAGTCCAGAATAAGCTGAGAAAGGCAAGAAGTAGATCATGTGGTGAAGCTTAGATCCAGAGCAGTTGATTCGAGTCCAAGAATCAGATAACTCCTGGGTTTTGATGGTTTCGTCCGATTATTTCTGTTCCTTTTCTTATTTTATTCGTATGCTTGTTTTTGGCTGATTCTTGTGTGTTAGATCTGTTATTTTTTCGTACATTGCTTTGCAACCATCTGTGTATTCAAACTATTCTGAGCTAGTGGATTCTAGGTACCGGGTTTCCCCTGTTGAAACCCCGCAGAGTAGGATTTATCCGAACTGCGTTAACATATCGTGTGTTCATTTCTTTAATTTTAGTTTTGGTTGAACTTGATATTTGAATCCGGTATTTTTGACTGTGACTATTGATATAGTCTGTGAACAATTTTGGTATCAGAGCCTTTACTTTAGATTCTTGAAACCCTAATCCAAATTTCTAATTGATTGAGTTTTCAAGAAACCCTAATTTTTTGGTTTACTGTTTTTCGATCCTAAAACCGTAGCTCAAAACTGTTCGAATCTTGATTGTTTTTGGTTCTTGTCTGATTGCCTTCTGTTGTTGTTATTGGTTTGTATCTTGATCTTAACCTGCAAATATGTCTGACACTAGTATCAAGATTCGTATATTTGATGGTACCAGTGACTTTCCCATGTGGCAGCTTAAGATGAAAACTCTCCTGATGAAGCAGAAATGCTTTGGAGTTGTTTCTTCTGATACTGTTCCCAATGTGTCTAGTTCTGATCTGACTGAACTAAAAAATGTTGCATATTCTGAATTGATTATTCATCTGTCTGACAATGTGGCTAGAAAATTTTCCACAATCACTGACCCTAAAGTGTTATGGGATACCCTTGAGTCCACTTATATGAAAAAATCTATGTCTAGAAAGATCTCTCTGCTTTGTAGGCTGTTTACCTTCAAAATGAATGTTTCTGTGTCTTTGTTTGAGAATTTGGATAATTTTCTGAAATTGACTCAAGAAATTGAAAAGGTAGATGAAAAGATAAAAGACACACATCAAGTTGTTATTCCGTTAAACTCTTTACCTTCACAGTTTGATAACTTTAAGGATGTCATCCACTATTCTAATGAGGATCTCACCCCTGGTAAGATCACTGATGCTATACTTGAGAAGAATGAATCCCTTAAAGTTTTTAAGTCTAAATCTGATCCCTCTAATACTGAGAAAACTGAGCCCAAAAATGAAACCCTTGTAATTAAAGGGAAATCAAACAATAAAAAGAACAGTTCAAAGAAGAAAAATAAAACTGATAAAGATAATTCTGAAAAGAAAACCTTCAAATATCATTACTGTGACATAGAAGGACATTTTGCAAGAGACTGTAGGAAAAAGAAAAGGGATAAACAAGGTGATAACAAGAATAATCCTAACCCTACTCCTAACACAGAATCTGCAAATGATTTTCAACATGAATTGCTTATTTTTTATGGATCTTCTTTGAATGATGAATGGATTTTAGACTCTGGGTGTACATTACATGCCACTCCTAACAAGGCCTACTTCTCCTCCCTGACTCTATATGATGGGGGGGAGGTCATGTTAGGAGACAATACTGCCCTAGATATCAAAGGTGTGGGTAATGTTCCGCTGAGGATGTTTGATGGGGTTGTAAGGGTTATCCAAAATGTTAGATGGGTTCCCTTCTTAAGAAGGAATCTTCTATCTGAATCTGTTTTTGATGATCTGGGTTGCACTATTAATACCCAGGATGGATATAAGGTTGTTTCCAGAAATGGAAATGACCTTATTAAAGCTAATAAAAGTGGGGGACTTTACTTAGTTAATTGCTCCCCTGAACTTAACTTAGCTGCTTCCGTTGATAATAGTAAAACTCAAAAGCCAACTGAAATTTGGCATAACAGATTGGGTCATATTGGGAATGTGGGTTTGAATAAGCTGTTTAAAACTGGATTTTTAGACTTTAAACCTGAAAACCTTGTTTTTTGTGAAAACTGTGTTTTTGGTAAGTAAACTAGGCATCCTTTTGAACAATCATCTTATGTTGCTTCTGCTCCCTTAGAATTGGTTCATTCTGATTTATGGGGACCCTCTAAAGTGAGAACAACTGGAGGTAGGAAATACTTTCTATCTCTAGTTGACCACTTTTCCAGGAAGGTGTGGATTTTCTTATTAAAAACTAAGGATGAAACCTTTGAGAATTTTAAAAACTGGAAAATATTGGTTGAGTCTCAATCCAATGTTAAACTGAAAGCTTTGAAAATTGATAATGGCCTTGAGTTCTATAACAATGAATTCAATATTTTTTGCAAAAATGAAGGGGTTAAAAGGTTACTTACTGTCCCTGGTACTCCTCAGCAGAATGGCACTGCTGAAAGGATGAATAGAACCCTGCTTGAAAAGGAAAGGTGTATGCTTATCAGTTCAGGCCTTGGTAATTCCATGTGGGGTGAAGCAGTGGTTACTGCTTCATACCTAATTAACAGATCCCCATCTTCTGTGATCAGTTTTAAAACTCCACAGGAAATGTGGTTTGGGGGTTAAACCAAACATTTCTCATTTAAGGCCTTTTGGGTGTGCATCCTATGCCCATGTTTCTCAAGGTAAATTACAACCTAGAGCCTTAAAATGTGTAATGTTAGGTTATCCTGAGGGAGTTAAAGGTTATAAGCTACTGGTTTTACAATCAGGGGCTTATAAGTGTATTGTATCCAGAGATGTTACTTTCAATGAATGTGATTTTCCTTTAAAAAGAACTGATACTGCCTTGAGTAAGTATGTAGATGTTTCTGATGGAAATTTCTTTGAATCTTTGGATGATGATGACTCTTTGTACAAAGAGGACCATAGTGGAATATTCCACAATGCAGCAAATGATTACTCAGAGTCTGATATAGACCAACAAGATGACCTCAATGGAGGTGAACAGGTAGTAGTGAGCTCAGACTCACAAGGTAGTCTTTCTAGTTCTCATACTCCATTTGTGCATGATCTGACTGACATTACGTTACAAATAATGTGCCTAATAATAATGATGACATTGATAATCATGATACACCTAATTTAGCTGACTATCAACTGGTTAGAGACAGAGAACCTAGAAATATTATTCCTAATAAAAGATATTTCTCTAATCTTGCTGAATTTGTGCTGATTGTTGCTGAGGTAGTTAAACAGTTAGCTCCTGATAACTTTGAACAAGCTATGAAGTGCTCTAAGTCTAATGAGTGGATGAAATCCATGCAGGATTTTATAAGACTTGGATTTTAGTTCCTAAATCTAAAAATGCAAAAATAATTGACTGTAGGTGGATTTTTAGGTTAAAAGATAGTCTTGATCCTACTGAACCTCCTAAGTTTAAAGCCAGGCTTGTAGCCAAAGGTTTTAGACAGAAGGAAGGAATTGATTATCAAGATATCTTTGCACCTGTTATAAAATTCAAAAGTCTGAGATTAATGTTGGTTATAACCACTGTTTTTTACTGGGAGTTGAAGCAAATGGACGTTAAGACTGCTTTTTTACATGGAGACTTAAAAGAAACTATTTTCATGTCTCAACCTTCTGGCTTTATTAATAAAGAGGTTCCTGAATATGTTTGTTGATGGAGTATACGGGTCTGAGCCCCAGGACCCACATACTCGGAAGAACAGAGCACAAGACAACAGAGTGGCGCCCTCGTCGGCCAAGACGCCCCCGTCGGCCGAGAAGAAGCCAACCCGGGTTATGATCCTGAGTCCAAGGAACCCGGGTGCCCTCGTCGGCCGTGCCCTCGTCGGCCACGCCCTCGTCGGCCACGAAGACCTCACAGAATCGGATCCTATACTTACTCATTTGCACAGCCCATTAGTGGCTTTGTATTCAGCCCAGTAGCGG